GTTTTAATTAGAAGAAAAACTGCTAGTTTCCATTAATTATGGTAATTGTCTTTTTTTCTTTAATCAGAGCTACTTTAGAATGAGCTAGATTTAATGTTAACTATTAAAAGAAGCCAAGCTTTTTTTTTCTCTCACGCGTCACACTTGCGAGAATCAATGGAGGCGTTTGAATTCGCCGCATGCAGACGCGGACGAAGACGTTAATCTTGTCCCCAGAACCGATTGTAGCGTCGCTCTAACGAGATTCCTAAATTTGTATTCTCGAGGAGCACGGTGGAGAGATAGGGTTTCGATTAACCTCAATCGAGACGTACTTTCCTTGGAGGCGACCCGTAAAAAAAAAAGTGGAGCGCGCGCAAACAACACACTGGCAATTTCGCGTCGCGCAAGATCATCCGCGACAAGTTACCCGCAGGAGATGAGACGCGCGTCTCATCTCTCTCTTTCTCTCTCCCTCCTCTCGTTATCTTGCTTCTTCTTTCCGGTTATATGACCGATGCTCGTAAAAAAGTCAGGAGCGAGTCGGGGAAAAATGTCACCTCTCTTACCGTCGGTTGCCTCATCCGGCCGACCCAACGACAGATACAACGTAATGAAATGAGGGCTGGATCGTCAGACTCGTACATCAAAACTCCTTGCGACCTTCTTGCGATCATCTCCATTTTTTATCCGCATCGCGTTTTTACGAGCGCGCCTCTCGTGATCAACGTTCAGAACGACGGGGATGAAGTCTCGCGCCTATAAGATCGACCGCCCCCTCGCGATCCACTTAAGCATCGTCGGCAGGCTTGCGTTGGGATCGCGAAACTTTACGGTCCTCGTATACCTCTCGCTTATCGATATTACCTTTTCGCCATCACGCTCACCTTGCCGTCGTCCCTCCCCCCCTCTCTCTCTTTTCTGTCGTGCAAGAGAGATGAGGAAATAGATTCGAACAACGATCGCACGCGGTTTCCCAATTTAAAAGTCTGATCGTCTTATTCCAGGAGGATCATCCTGCGCTCGCGTAAGTCCGGTAAGTCCAGCCAGAATTTCTCCCCGCGTCCTCGCGAGGGACGCGCGGTGTCGCTCTATCTCTCGCCGCCCCGGTATTAATATTCGATGCCATTAACGGCGCGGCAATTGCTTTCCACCGCTACCGAGACACCGCCTCCCTTACGCTTCAATCTGAATTCCAATTCGGTCCCCCCGCGCCCGAGTATAATACCGGTGCAGGCTGTGATTGCGCGCCAAGGCGAGGTACACGCTCTCCCGGTACACGCTCCATCTTCCCGCCCGGTGTCGCGGTTAAGGACGATAATAGCGATTCGAGCAAGTAGCTGGCGAAGTTACCGGGCGAGGTGACAAAGTACACCCGGGGTCGTGCCGTACCGGGTAAAGGGAACGGTGCCCTCTTCACCCCTCCCTCGCTTCCTCCGCCCGCCCTGTGCACGCCGTGGGTGGTGGACCGGTGAGAACAGGCGAGGGCAAAGGGCGAGGGAGGGTGTATTAAAGGGGCGCTATGACCCGATGCGCTTGTCTCATGCATACCAATAAGCCCCTGGCTGCCGTGCGTCTCGTATGTATGTAGCCGAGTATCCGCCTGCAGCTTGCCGACAACTTCGCTTATTTGTCCTGTGAAATAGATTCCGCGTCGCTCTTGGCCCTTGACTACGGGTCGTGATCAAGATTACCGCCCGTATATATACGATAGACATATTGTGAATATGTAGATTAAATTAAATTATTCAATCATTATTTAATCGTTGTTTATCGAGCACTATATGAAATATATTTCTTTAAAGGCAAACACACGTACGAAGGTGAGGATTTATGTGTTCACAGAATTTTAAAAGTGACGTAAATAATAATAATAATAATTACACATTCACGTTAGTTGGACGCTTGACATTAGTACTACAAATTTTGTCATACGTAAAATTAAAAAAAAAAAAATTTTTTTTAATTAGTCTTTTAAACCAAAAAAGAGCTAAAAAGCTTATTTTATAAAGAGAAATGGAAAAGAGATAATGCAGCTACAGAAAACGGAAATAATAAGTTAGGATTATAATAATCTACAATATAAATACACATAATAAATTAATAAATTTAATAATTATTATGAGATTATTTAAACAATAAAATAGAATTATGTTATATTTTTGTATCCTATTAATACATGAAATATCATTGACAATATATGTACAAATAATGGAGAGTACCATTTGTCATTACATGCAATTTATATTGCTGATTTTTTTTCTTCTAAAATAATATCGATCGTTGACGTAAGATAATCCCGATCACTCGTAAAAAAATATTCCCGTTTCCTTGGGAGAATAAACGTCCGACGGAAAATAATCAACGATAAACAATACGCCGGGAAATAACGTTGTCCGTCGCCGTGTGGAAGGGGTGGCGAAACGGACGCGACTGGGATACGGCCGGCGAAACGAATTTTGATTAACGAGAGAGCTTTCGCAAATTCGGGAGCGCGCGTTCCGCGCGAAAGAACGCTCCAATTTGTCCGCGTAGTGAGCGCGAAATGAAATTAAGGCAGACGCGAATTTGATCAGCGGCGGCGGCGGCGGCGGCGGCGGCGGTGGCGGTGGCCAGAGAGCTCGAAATCTCGGTGAAAACGCAGAGCTCGGACGAAACGCACGGAGGGACGACGACTAATGACAGTTACCGCTGTGAGTTGATTCCCGCTTAAAAGATTTACGCCGCCTTGTGTAGCTTGCAAATCAAATATCCGACTGGCTTCACCAAAAAGTACTTGCCGCTCGCGAAACGAAAAACCGAACCGCGTCTATTTCACTCTTTCCGAGCACGATTGCGGCTGCGTTTTTAGAACCAGCGTGGAAAGTCAAAATTTTTTTACGTTTTAATTGGGAATGCAACATTTTAATCAGAAATGTAATATATAATGATATTTTATTTATTTATATGACAGTCGTAATAATTGTACTTTCCCTCGGTGGAGATACGTCCAAATGAAAGTGTCATCGCAATCTGCCGCTCGCGGTTCGTTATATTTGTCTCATAATATTTTACATTGTTACCATTATTTTCGTTTGCAAGAATTAAAAATTGTGTAACAGCCGCGTGGAAATAATTCAGCGTGTATAATTCATTGTGCCACAAAAGATCGGATACCTGTCGAAGGTGTCACTTTGCCGGATTCGCGCATCGAAGGAAGCGCAAACTTGGAACCTCGGAGACATTATCGTTCGCTGATGCGTCCCAAATTGCATAAATTCACCGCCGACAACACATAATAAATCGCGCGTATTGTGCCGAGCGCGACGTTGCATCTCACGTCATTTGAATTATTAACTCGCTACAGCGGTATGTATATCAATTACGCGATATTGACATTGTCGTTCCACTATTCCACATCATTACAGAGAACGAGAGATAGATAAATCGATAGAGAGAGAGAGAGATAGTTAATACGATCAAATTATCCAGAATCGATCGAAATTATCGTGCCTATCGAAATCTCTATATGAATACATACATATATAGGTATAACGAATATATAATGAAAGGCGACCTATCGATTATGAATTAGAAGATTACACAATATCGCCGGGCTTTAACTGGAACACGAATTAACTGCCAGTGTAATTACGTGGGATCACAGCCAAACTAATCAGACGTCTCGCTTCTCACGTTCCTGCGTCAAGCTATACTTTCAATTTTTGCAATGCGGTTGAAACTATGGGAGGTGTAACTAACATCGCACTAATTATCGTTTCCAAACGAGAAGGGCGCGACATCCGCGTCGTACCGCCGCACAACCGTATCCGCCTGTTCCCGCTCTTTCGCGAGTTAAAAATCCGGTCGCGCTTTAATTGCATTCCAGTGCGAGATATTAGCAACAAAGCGAGCAGCAATAAAATCGCGCGATGGCACACGCGCCCGCATGGATCGGAGAGGGTGGAGGGTGGAGGGGCATCAGGGAGTGAGGAGTGGAAAAAAAAAGAGGAATGTCGTTCGCACTCCACTCCAAATATCGACACGCCCGATACTCGAGACAGATTGAAACACTCTTTTTGAAACGCGCCGCGGCCGGAGAGAGCGCGAGTCCGCCGAGAGGTAAACTAATAAATCGCGCGCAAATCGTCTCTGCGAGGGCCCTGCGCGCGCCCACCATCGTCCATTCGCGTCGACTGCGCGAATGCGGATTAATAGTGATGAGACACGGCAGTGTATCAATTACACCGTGTCGTTATAACGTCGTCAAGCCGATGTCGCGGTGTCGGCGCGAGCTAATTAACGAATCTCCACGTTAGCGCGGACTGCGCGCCGTGGAGAATCGAGATCGACCGTGGATTGTGCTACCCGGTAATAGATCACTTGGAAGGATCCTGATTAACGAGTGCGAGACCGTCGATACGCGGGAACCTTGGCGAGACGGCGCGGCAGCGCGCCGTCACCTCGATCGCACGTCGCAGATTAAAATTCTGTCCGATTGGTTCTTTGGCGATTGGTGACGTAAACAACGTAAAGTAGCCGTTAACTAATAGAAAATTATCAAATCTATTATAATAACAAACATTTATCTCTGAGAAAACGAAATTCATCCTTCCTCTTTTGAAATTGAACGAAAACCCGTCGCTCTTAATTAATCAGTTTAAATACAACCGGGTCATAAGTTATTAAAGGACACATCTCGAATTGCATATAATTATGTTAGACATAAAAATCAGATTACATTAAATAAACCAAAAATAGGAATGATAAAAATAAGATTGCGCATAAACAAACGAATATGTAGGTTAATGTTACATTAAGCATTTAACGTATTTGAAAAATGATCTTTATTCGCTACAGGGAATTTCCGCCGACACGTTTTACAATTAATTATTGCTTCTACCGAGGCTCTTCAGTAATGCTTCCGGATGCGCTAGATATTTCATGAAAGGCAGCATTAACCTACACGGCCCCGGCATATTGCTATTTGTGGCACGTTTCTGATAAAACTCACGACGGTATCGCGTTTCTCTCTGTTGCAGGTTATCCTTGTGCCTCACAGTCACACCGATCCGGGATGGCTGAAGACATTCGAGCAGTACTTCCACAGCTCCACGAGGAGCATCCTAAATAACATGGTCTCGAAGCTGCAGCAGTGGCCGAACATGACCTTTATCTGGAGCGAGGTTTCGTTCTTATCACTGTGGTGGGACAGGTGAGTGCATTCTATGTGCATACGCGATCAAGCGTTTTGCAATATTTCCCGAGTAAAAGAGAGAGGAAGGAAAACGCTTCTCAAAAATGCCTCGCGTCGAAAAATGCATCGAGAAATATTCTTCGAATCATAATATATTTACACAAAACGAATAGACTTCGCCCTCTTTACGTTTAAATTGAAAATGTCGAAGGCTAGCATGATAATAATAATAATAATAATAATAATAATAATAATAACGCAGCTAATGAATAAATAATATCAGGTTGGTCATAGGTCTTTTATTTTATTCATCGTAAATATATAAAAAGATTTTCTGATCAACGTAATAAACAGTTGAATGTGTAATAGATAGCTAAATGTATTGTAGAAGGAATGAAGTAAATAATAATAAGTCGGATAATTATGCAGAATAAACAGATAAAAAAATGAATAAGATTTTTAAAGCGATGCCCCGGGAAAAATTTCCGATAAAGCGGCGAGCGGATTGTTATTCTCAGAATTCACGAGGTATAATTAATATCGCTTTCCCACGATCTGGTTCTCTTAGGGGATGACTCATTAATGCGAATGTCGGCTTCTGCATTTGTAATTAAAGACAAACACCGGTTAGCGCGCATTCGTGTGTTAAGTAATCTACGAGTTTTCCCCTGCAATCTCGCGCGAGCTTTTCTCGAAATTGTAAAATGTGGAAAAGAGAGCGTTATATGAAGGTATAAACGACGTCGAAAGCTAACAGCCTTGCGTAATTGCACACGTTTGGTTCCGCAGCGCTCATTGTCTATCTTCGAAATTCGAATTACTCGCACGTTGGGGAATTTCGAGCTTTCGCCGATCGACGATGTTTCTTCCACTCTTTCGAGGATAGAAACGCTTTAGCACGTTGACCATTGGCTTCTGCATTTCCAATTAAAGACAAACGTTCCGTGCGTCCGCGTGTTAAGTAAACCGCAGACTTCCCGCACGCGAGCATCTCTCTCGGAAATGGATTTGTCGTGAAATAGGCCGAGGAAGGAGGGAGCGGGCGATCGTATCGGCAACTGGATGGTGGTGATTCTCGAGCCACTTGGCGCTCGAAAGAACGGAGCGGAAACCCGGGAACAACGGTGCGGGTGACGGTCCGCCTCTTCTTAACGAGCCGCGGAAAAGCCGTGGATGAAGCGGGAATGAAGAAGAAGACGGAGAAGTGTCACGAGTGGATTCCGAGAAAAGTGAGGAGAAAGAGAGGGAGAGAGAAGCGGGTAAAATGATAAGTTCCAGATGAGTTTCACTGAGTCGGGAAGGAGGGAGTAGCTCGCTTTCATTACTTTCCTCCAGTTGTTAGAGACAGAATGAGATCCCGCAGGTTTGCTCAAAAGTAATTTTTATTCGGTGGATTTAGTCACCCCGCGGATCGGTACGGTTTTATTGGATCACAGAAACGGGAAGTGGAGATGCTTGCGAATTGTCGGGTACGATTGAAGCTGAAGAGCTGCAGTCAGCGAAGAAATGAGAAGTAGTTCTAATATATGCAACCGATTGAAAATCTCAGGATAGACTGTTGTTGAAATGTTATGTACATGCTTTTCTACATTTGAAATTTAAATTTTTGCAAATAACTCTCAACTTCACATAAAAAATAATTACATTCTTTCTTCTGAAATTATTGCATACTCTGTAGAAAACTTTATTTTTACGGATCTCTTCTGAAATCAGATTTATATAATCGGTTTTAATTTTGGTCAATTACAGTCTACGGTAGGACACATAATTTCTTTTAACGAGTTTAGTAACATTAAAAATTTTTTTTTATCTCAGGACTTTTAGAGAAAGCGCGAAGAGAGGAAGAAAGTAGAAAAAAATTGTAGTTCAGAATAATCACTTTTATTCTCTGCTTTATTTCGAAATGTTCATTGAAATTTTGTATATAATCAATCAGACCGATTGCACCGACATGCACCGAAGCTCTGAGAACGTAAAACGCTAGGAAAATTGTATCGGCATCCGGCGCATAAAAAAATTTATTACATCGGCGCCGGTGCAGTTTAAACAGACCGGCGTCGAGGAAAGCTCATCCTCAAAACGCCCCAGTTTGGCTTGGGCGTAACCACCTTAGCTTTAGCGACCTTAAACCAACCTACTAGCCACCTGGGAAAACAGAGAGAGAGAGAGAGAGAGAGACATATAGCAGGTGGAATCCGTGGCGGCTTTATGGCCGACATAAACGACGTAATGTGGAAACCACCTTCGAATAGGGAAGGATATGTAGGTCGTACATAACACTCGGACGCACAAATCACGTAAATCCTGGCTGGCTGAAATGCGACGGCGGCGGTGGCGATAAATATGATTTGCAACCCGAATTGCGTGATAGCTGGTATAAAACAAACGCGAGTCAGACCGAGTCACGCGAGAATGATTCAATTCGACGTTGATCCGGAGACGAGCGCGGATCGATCATTTACGGTGAAGAACGATCATCTGCGTAAACTTCATCCATTCATTGGTCGTTACATTTAGAATCGATTTTTTATTTGTGCCAGAATTTAAGCATAATATCTGTATATTTGAATTTTTTACAAAATTTTATTAGTTAAACTTAAAGTTAAAACATTTGTGATATTCATTCTTGTCTTATTTCTATACTTTTTCTATCAATTGTAATTAATTCTTTAAAAGAAAGGGCCCTTTCATCTTTCTCCTTTCACCTTTCTAATGTTTGAAAGGTTCGATTCTATATTTTCTGAAATTCACATTCATTTTCTCTTATCATAAGAAGTTTTATCTTCATTTTCAGTGCTCATCCGACGAAGAAGATGGTCATAAAAAGATTAGTCAAGGACGGTCGACTGGAAATGACCACCGGAGGTTGGGTCATGACTGACGAAGCGACTTCTCACATTTACGCTATGCTGGACCAGCTCATTGAAGGTAAGTATCTGACAAAAAAAATAATAATAATCGGTCTAATCGCATTTCGAAATATTAAATTAGGAATCATAAATATTGGCTGTAAAGCTACTTTCATGTTTAAATTGACTGCTCAGTCTATAGAATAAATTATTATTTCACTTATAATTATGAAGAGAGAAAAAGCGGATTGATATAAAAATAAAACTTCCAGATTTTTTTTAGAAGAGATTTTAATTTATACCAATTAATGTCAATTTATATATTGATTTTCTGTTACTCAACTTATTTTTCGGTGAAGGTCTTTGATACTTTTAAAATAATAAAATATACAAATGATTTTTCTATTGTAAGTCCCAAGATTATTACAATATTAATTATAATAACTAATTATAATATGTTAATTATAATAATAATTAGCAAAAATAAATATGAAAATAAAATGGAACCGATATATAACTTGAAAATCGCATTAGACAGTTTACAAAAAATTAAGAAACGCGTTGAACGATAATGAGATATCAGTTTTAATATTAATTTGATTTTTCTTAATCATTATGTCGAACATATTATATATACAATATTAAATGTCAAATGTGCTAATTTACCTTGATATTACATAATTTTAATACTGACGTGCCGCGGGAATCGCTATAGAATACGAAAGTCAAACGTAAAACTCTCTGAACTCCGAACCGCGATAAAAAAAAGAGGGTCCATAAAAACGCGAATGGAAACGCGAAGGAAGTCCCAGCATGACGAGAAAGGATGTTCACTTCCTTCCGACGCTATAAAAATCAGCCGGCGCTTTAAAACACTCTATCGACAACCGAAAGAGGACGTCGGAATTCCGGCGACCGGTATAGGTAGCTATAGGTAGGATATCCCTGTCGTTTGCTAGCCAAGTGTCGGTCGGCGGAGGAAGCAATAAGGATCCCCGTCGATGCACTGTGCGCGAAAGGGAGAAGATTCGAGTGGATGGAAAGGATTTCTCTCGTCCTGCCACGCGGCGGGACTGCGAGGAGGAGGAAGAGGAGGAGGAGGGGGAGAGTAATAAGGCGGCGGGTGCAAGCGGGTTTCTCAACGGAAAATTGCTCTCCGCCACGTCGTCGTCGTCGTCGTCTTCGTCCTCTCGGAGCCGTCTGATTACGACCTCCTCCTCTACCTCCTCTTCCTCCTTCTCCTCCTCCTCCTCCTATTCCTTCTCTACCTCCTCCTCCACCTTCTTCTCTTTCTCGCAATGAAGGGAAAAGGATCCGTCTCGCTCTCTCGCTCGGTTTAATGTTACCGCGAAAGATTTTACCGCCCTCGTGGAAATTTCAGTCGGCGTTGATTACCTTTCCGCGCGGGGCTCGGCTCTCGCTCGCGTGTGCTGTATCGCCGGGATATCACGAGCGGCAGAACGGCTTCCCTTCCGTACAACGGGAAGGGATGGTAATAACTATTATCGTACGTATGTCGCATAGCTGCGGCAGGATTATTCCTAATGTTTGCTATAGGTATACCACGTATGCCCGTGTCCTCCGAATATAGCGCAGTCGGGTCAGGCGTATCCGTGACCTGGTGCAACGTGGAATATATACGGTGGGTAGATCTCGTGGAGTGCTCATGTCGGGAAAGCTTAATATAAGAAAAGGTTGTAAGAGCGCCGAGAGAAAAGAGCGGCCCGGATAGAATTACTTTCGTGCGATTATTAAAAAGCACGTCGAGTGAAAAGGGAACTTATTAATTTAATTTCATATCTCTCAATTATAAACGTTCGCATTCAGCATTACAATAGGATCAATTTATTCGTCTAGAGATAATTATGTATAGAAAAATACAAGTGACATGTCGAGTTTTGTTTAAACACTATTGGTTGTAAAAAATGTTTTTAAATAGAAAGTTAATTTTCTTAAAATTACAGTTTTCAATAAAAGATAACATTTGAATTTTTTAAACATTATTTCGAATATGTAATAATCTATAATTTATGTTTGTGTCGAAATATATGTATCTAAATTAGATTAAAATGAATATATAAGAATGAAAATTATAGGCCTCCAATTTTATCGAAAGCATGCTGGCGTGCAGCTTTCTCGGCTTCAATTACAATCCCTTCGTGTCGAATTTTTTCAGTTTTGCTTTTTCGAAGAGGAAATATAAATTTATGATAAACGTTGGAACATTTTTCGTACAATTTTCTAGACTTGGACCATTTCGACAAACCGTGGTAGCCGCGTTTAATTGTCACTCCCGTCAGATCCCGACGTTTCGGGGGCGAACAAATATTATCGTCGCGTATCTCTTGCCTCCGAACGATCCGGAGCCGCGCGCGCGCCGCACGCATGCACGCGACACGTATGTATGTACGACACGGCACGGCGCGGCGCGGCATGTGCGACGCAAAATTTCCGCGAGCAACGTATACGTGATCATTAACAGCGGATGAAGGGGCGCGACAACAAAACGTACAGCATGTTATGACCTGCCGTCGCGCGCGAAACGCGTGTACAAGTGAGTGGAAGGAGGAGAGGGGTGGAGGGGGGAGGGAGACGGGGAGGGTACCGAGAGGGTCCTCGAGCGCGCCCGGCCGTCTGCACTCTCGCCCGAATAATGCCCGCACTCGCACTCGCTCCTCTTGTGTCCGCGCGTCCGCACGAAATAATTGTCGTCGTGCGGATCTAACAGCTTGTTTTTGCACCGCGCGGCACCGGGACCGCGTATTCATCGCCGGCGCAAAAACCGAATCTCCATTGTGCGCGGCACGCAACGACGCGGCGCGGCGGCCGGTCCTCTTTTCCGCGTATACGCTAATATGTCCGGGCATTGTGCGGCCCGCTGTTAAATAGCGCCTGCTCCTCCTCCTTCTCGTGTAAAGGTGTCGAGGAAACGCGAGCATTTCCTTTTATCCTCCATATTAAACTCGCGGCCCAACGCGAAACTTTTCGTAACAAATATGCATGTTTTTTTTTTTTCGTTGCCTCAGGCTTTGGAGAACCGGGAGACGCCGGGTTATCTTTGAGCCATTGTCCCTCGTTTATCCGTTCGTATCAGTGTATTGTCCTGCAAATACCTATTGCGCAATGAAATAAAGCACGACACGATAAGAAGAATTTTCAGTATGTCAAAGACTATAAACCAAAAGTGTTCATTCAAGATATCGATCAGATTAGTTGACTGTATATATTTTTCCTATTTTATCGCACCCTGCAGTTATCGAGATCTCAGATTTATAGTTTACGATCGGTTCTTTGCGCGAGCGGCGTGTCAATAAAACGCTCGAGGATTCTTTATCGTAAAGCGTAGTAAACGGGGATTTATACCTATCGCGTTAAGATCAAAGATGGTAAACGCAGAGAGCGCGAATTATGCAAACGTCCAATGTTGCGACGCGGCGCGGCGGCGCGGTCTCTCAGCGGTGATTTCGCGCGGGCGCGCGGGAACATTTGCGATTTTGCCGTGGCATTAAATTGAAATAATGCCGCTCAGGTGTATTAACTCCTAATTATTAGGCCGCTAAATATGTATGGCGCGACGCGCGTTCGCGCCTAGAACGTTAAATCGCCAAGTCCGGCGCGGCCACCCCGTTAACGACTGTCGCGCTAAACTGCCCCGACCGCGTTGGATATCCGATATATCGTGTGTGCACACGCGTGTATTTTCAGAGGGTAGGGGAGCAGGGAGGAGGAGGAGGAGGAGGTGGAGAGCTGCATTACACCAACGAGCGACCGCACCGGCGCAAATATTCGGGCGCCGATATTCGCGATTGCGTAGACGGGCGTTCCGTCCCTCCCTCGCCTCGCCGTTGTAAACACGAAAGTCCTATCGGCGTGCTATCGTCGATTTGCCGCGAGTGTGCATAAACCGCGCATAAATCGCGTGTATTAATCGTCGAAAGTGCAAACAAACAACGGTCGTGCGCGCGATTACGATTAACGTATTAACTGCCGTTTGTAAATCGCGGATTAACGGTCGCGAATGTTTCTTCAGGCTTGAGAGAGATCTTTCGATGACGTGCGTGTAACGTCATTTTTTAGATCTTCATCTTATATTTCGACGTAATTATAATTACACATGCCGTTGATTTTTAATCACCGAAAATCTATTTCGGGCATTGTTGAAGAAATGAAAAATTCATGTGGCTGTATGAACGTGTTAACAATATCGAATAATGCGCTTTGGAAAAAAAATATGCTCGAAAATACAAAACATCAAGAATTTTTTTGAAAAATCAAGAATTAAAATTTTACAATTAGAAAAAATGTTTTTAAAATTATAAAATCATATATTTAAACAAAACAAGTAATTGCCTCTTTGAGACAGTATAATGATATTCTTTTTTAAACTTGCAAAATATTTCATCTACACGTATAACAGATAGCATTTCTAAAGTTATATAATTATAAATTATTATAAATTATAAAATAAATGTTAATATTTATTTTATATAAATCGCGAAATGGTCGCAAAATTTCCATCGTTAAAGTAAATATTGATAATATTTATTTTAAAATAATTATTTATTTAAAATAATTATTTATAGAAAATTATTTATAATATAAAAATAATGAAAATTACTATAAAAGACTGTGAATACGCCATCGATGAGATTTTCTAATTATATCCAAATGATCGTCTCGTTTTACGAAGCGTCTTTGAACGTTCGGCTCTCGATCGACCGGTGTCACATTAAATCCCAATTCTCGCCTTCTTCTCGTCCAGAAAATTAATCTCCGCGCGCGAGCAGGCGATGGCTTCGAGGAGACACAGCCTACTCCCCGTCTTAAACGGAGCTCTCCCGTTTCCTCGCTCGAGTTTCACGGCGCGCGAACAAAGGAGCGATCTTTTAATAAACGACGACCGAGTATTAAACGTAATCCCGCGATAATATCGAAGCGGAACGGAGCAGCCCTTGGCCGGCCCGTCCCTTTAGACTTGCAGCAGACTCCCTCGCGCCGATCATCGCCGGCGCTCTCCTCCCACCTTTTAGACAGGGAGCTACCGAAGATCCACTGCAAATATCGCGCGGGATAAAAGCG